ACTTCCTGTAATTTCATCTTACCTAATTTTCTTTGACATCTAAACAAACTCCATGTAACGCCTTAAATGCTCTCGTTCACAGTTCTGTCAGATCGGTAACTTCTCCATCCACATCGCTCTCCGGAACCTCCGCCCACCAGGTGAGCACATCCATCACTTCGCACTGTCCTCCGATTCAAAAACATATCAGTGAACTTTTTGATGGAAGTCCTCAAAATCTTGAGCTGGATTTATCTCTGGACAAAACATATTTAAAAACTAAGCTTGCAAAATCTTCAGTTAATCTAATTTTACTAAGAGAATTGGATTGGTAAGGAGATTTCAGGTTTCAAATTTCCTCTGTTTTTCGTGTGAATCCAGGATCAAAGACCAGGAAGATTCCCTATCCAACCAAGAACCCCTTCACCTGGATCTTCCTCCTCGTCTCCTGTCCCAACTACACCTATGAGGTAACATGGTCTCGACTTTTTTCATGCTCTAAGTCTGTGTAGTCAGAACAAAACGTAGAATTATATTTGTATTGAATCTCAGTTGTCATTATGATATTGCAGTTTAAAATAACAGCTTGGATGCAATATTTAGAAGGATAACAGACTTGAGGTTCTGTTCATTCATTTTCTGAACAATAATAGCAGTTTAGTGATCAGAATCCTAACGCTCAGTCAGCAACGTAACAATGTTGCACAGTAATGAAATGTCTGCAGTTGAACTTTTTCCAAATCTTGAAGATAAACTCACTTATTCAGGAATCAAAAAAGCCTGAATTCATCACTTCTTTGGCCAATTGATATACAATAAGGAAGCTTATTAAAAACACTAATTTTACTTGGTCAGTCCTGCAAGCAATTCACTGCCATCTAGTGGTCAGACTCATCCTAGGCGCAAGTTTGTCAGTTTGTAAACTTTTTACCCCAATAAATAAATCTATAAATGGCAGAAACATATTTACTTTTAATATTTAAATGTAAATGACCTCGAGGAGTTAGAAGTCGACTTCTGGATTATAAACTAGACACAAGATTTTTCAACATGACCTGGTTCACAAGCGAAATATGATCCAAATCCTGTGCTTCTCCAAAAAAAATATTCTCCTTCTTAACCATTTTTCCTATCTTGATAAAATAAAGATTGGTTAATTTAAATATAACATTTTATGTATTGGACTTGAACAGAACAGTACAAATGTGTGAATTTATAGGCACAACATGCCTGGAAAACGACAAACGGCAGCCCCTGCCATATTTCATTGAATTTCTATATTTGGAACATAAACGATGTAAAAAAATCTAAAAGCTGCTAAAGAAAAATATGAAAGTGAGGAAAAGCTTTAATTGATCCAAGTCTAATGTAGATTTTCAGGGCCTAATCTCAACATGGAGAATGTGTGTGTGTGTGTGTGTGTGATATCCGTGACGGCGTCTGTTCCTCCTGCAGCTGGGTTCCTGGCTCGGCTTCACCCTGATGACCCAGTGTCTGCCAGTGGCCTTCTTCACCCTGGTGGGTTTCATCCAGATGACCGTCTGGGCCAAAGGGAAGCACCGCAGCTACCTGAAGGAGTTCCGTGACTACCCTCCGCTCCGCTCGCCCATCCTGCCCTTCGTCCTGTAGATCCATCACCAACTACGAGGACGTCGTCCTTTCTCTAAACCTCACACTGGATTTAGACTGATAGATTCAAAGCTTGATCCTTTGCTTCCCTTCCTGCTTTAAATTCTCGTGTTGAGTAAAATGTAAACAACTAGTTTGTTATATTTTTTTTGTATTGCAGACAAACTGTTCTGTTCTGACTGGTTTACTTTTGAATTTCTTTTCCCAGAGCTGCGTACTTCTAAAAACTGCTGTAAAATATGCAAGAGTTTCATTTTTATTGCCTCAAGCTGCAGTTTTCTGGTGTGTTTTTTTTAGCCTGGAGCAGCTGGCATTGAAAGCATCTTTGAACTCTCACCTTGAATTGCTTAAGAATCTTAAAATCTGAAACTGACAGAATTGAGTTTTGTTGTCTGAGGTAATTTATTAAAAAAAAACAATACAAATCAAGCTTTTGTTTGTCTTAAATTTTGTTTTTGGGTTAATAACTGAATAATGCTGAAAGATGGCAGGCGGTGGCATTTTTCCTTGTAGAAAGTGATGCTGGATATTCACACACAGTAAAAACAAAAGGCGTTGGGTTATATAGAGCTTGATCAATATTGTTTAATGTGAACAACAGCAGGTGTATATACAAGGAAGCAGAGTCGGAGGATTTTCTCATCATGCAGCTTCTGCCTCGGCCTCAATCCTCTTCTTCCTCAGCTGGAGCCTCCTCTCCCTCTCGTACTCCTTCATACGCATAACGTAACTGCAGTCAGGAAGTACATGTATTAACTGCACACCATATTGAAGAGGTAGATCTTTTAAAATTTAAAACTCTAGCATGTGAAGTGTGTGAACCAGCAGCATCGCAGCTTTCCCTTAATAAGCAACTTGGGAAAATGTGACCAGCGGACACTTACTCCTGGTGTTCGCAGTAGTCCCAGTCGTGCCTCTCGTGCTTGCAAGCCAGGAAGTTGGGCCAGTTGTCCCTCTTGCACTTCATGAGCTTTATCAGATGGTGGGCGCAGTAATCTCTCTGCCCCAAAGGCAGCTGCGCCAGGTTCATCTGTTCCTGGGTTGCAATCATCTCTGAGAAAGAGCAACTTGTTTTTAGTTGAGATTCAGCAGGTTGTTTTAGTATATTTTGTAAAACAAAAACAAACAAGAATTTGTAGTATGAAAAACTGGTCTGCATTTCAAGGTTTCTGCAACACTGTTTTTGTTCATGTTCAGTTTGAATTAGTTTTAAAACCTGCTAAAGACTTACTGTGCACAGACTCCTAAAAACATTTTTTTAATTCTGACACAGGGGGAAACAGAAGGACATTTGATCACAACATAAAGAACCTGAAATTGAAGTTAAACTACAATAAACACATCCCAGGATTCATTACACAACTTAGTCGGTAGCCTGTAGTTATTTATTTAGGGCACATTTCATTTTACAACTATATGCATGTTTTCAAAGGAACAAAAAATGTAGTTGAAAGTGTTTTCATGTAGTTTTGATCCACAGAGGAAAAAGGTAAACAATATGTCGGCACATGTTTTTATTTAGGGGTGTACAGATCAGTCAACCCAATCGGAAAAGCTGGATACATGCTTTTCATGAATAAAAACATCCATGCATATTTTTATTGATCTGTTTTGCATCTTAATAGCTAATTGGTTCTCTCTTTGATTGCTTCGCCTTTATTTGAGCATAAGTTGCAACTGTAATTTAAGAGGAATCATTTTGTAATCGTTTAAGTTCAATTCGCACTTTCTAAGTTTGAATTTTACCCTCAGTTGTGCATTACTCCACTCAACGCTGTTATATTCACTAAAACATTATCGCTATGCTTTGTACCCTAGATTCCCAACCAGATGCATTCTGGTTCATTACAATATACTGTAAATCTTTCCCTGTAGAAGGTAAACCGTTTTGTGGCATTCAACATGCTAACATTAGCTAGTCAACAGGACAGCTTTGTTCGTGTCTCCAAGGCTACATTAGCAAGAGCTAAACCCCAAGCTAACTGATATGAAATCCGCTTTAGCCTGAAAACACCTGCTTAATAGCTGCAGCTCAGATAAAACCCGGTCCCGTCGCTGCACACCGACCTCTCTCCTTCCTCTCTTCGAAGCCGATCTTCGGGTCAAACTCGAACTTCTTGGTAGGGTCCGGCTCGGTGTCCCTTTCGGTGATATACTGCCTGGCCAGGTGAGCGCCCATGGCAACGGTGATTCAGGCACACTGGAGGCTAAAATTAATATATCACACACTGCTGTTACTCATAAAAAATTAAATGTTTACAGAAATAGTCTGCAATCGGCCATTCGGTCACCTCCACAAGCCCCCTGCATCCACTTCCGCTTTGCTTCAGAACTTAACCTCACAAAAAAAATAAAAATTACCGCCACCTACAGGAGGGAAGGTGAAACAACAGAACACTGTAGACACGTACAAGATATCGTTTATGCACATTCGACTGTTTTTTTATTGGGAAAACGTTATGATTCACTATGAATACAGATATGGACATTTCATCAGAAGCATGTTAAATAATAAAATGGGAGATGTTTTCTTTAAACTGTTACACAGACTATTAATCAAATTTTGTATAAAAATATACTAAATATATTGATTATGGCATACCTTGTTACAGATCCTGTGTTATATTGCTTGTTCTATCTTTATATTTATAAGCAAAGATCTTTTTTTAATAAAAATAAATAAATAAACTAAAACACATTCACGCACTATTGGATAAGTTGTGCAAAATGATACATGCCGTTTAACCTAATACTGATAACCTAATATTTGTTTTTTGACCTTCACAGTAGTCATATTTCTAGACCAACATCTATGCTCTCACAACAGTTGACAGCACCTTTCTGCTTTGGAGACGCATGGCTCCAAAAGGCTCGTTTTTGTGTCGGAAAAGCAGGTTTTGAAATGGCCAGTCTGCTCTGAAAACCAAAAGAAAGAGCTTCATTTTATTTATTTATGTTTTATGCTTATCTTTCACTCGCTTTGGCTTGAAAATGTCAATGAGAAGACTGTCACACACACAAGTGGATTAATCATGCTCTGAGTTTTTATTTGAGGCAGCAGTGAAAGAAAGTCTTTTGTTTTTGAGAAATGATTAAATGAAATAACCAATTCAAAAACAGCAGCATTTAAAACAAATAGTGGCATAAAACAAGGTAAAGAGGTTGTTCAGAGTGTTTTACAAGGTATGACTGGTCTATTTGTGACTTGTTTTCTGTTTCACTTATTTAAAATATTTTTATAATAATCTCTGGCCCCATAAAATCAAACCTTTGGTTTTAAATCATTAAGGTCACTCAAACATATTTTAAATGATAATGAATATGTCTAAATATATAACTAATGTATTAAAGCAGAGAAATTAGTATTTTCATACATACATAGTATTTTTTTCCAAAAAGTCTCGACATGACATGAAAAATGAATATTAATGCAAAAGACTGGATGACAGAACAAGAGGCCAGTTTATCTTCTCTTCATAACTTCCTGAACAGTTCATAAGTAACGTAATGCAAATAAAACAAATCAACATTTATTTACTACCATTACTCTAAACAGTCACTGCATCCTTATACTTTTACATTTTATTGTAAAAATGTTATAGTTTCTATCAGTGTAAGAGAGATTTAGACAAACACTTTTCATTTGACCTCTTGCTTCTCTTCTAGTATCGAACCATCATCATCATCATCACTGGTAGAGGTCATCATCCCCTTCCTCTCTGTACAGACTCGGCCTCTCCGATCCAGAACTTGGCCCTGACCCCTGACCTCCGGACCGGGTTCCCGTAGCAGACGGAAACCTGGAGGAAACATCTAACGTAAGAACTCTGGACGAAAATGAAAACAGAGTCAGGTGACCTGTAGCTGCTCTCCTGCAACCCGTGTGGCGCACCTGAAGTTCCCGAAGCCTCGGCTCTGCTGCAGAGTCTGAGCAAACATCTCGTATTTGCGGATGTCGTTGTCGCTGACGGAGCGACGAGCGAAGCGCATGGCCTCTTCAAAGTGGTCCTTTCTGATCTCTGGGACCGGGTCGAAGTCCTCGTCCTGTGAAAAGATGGACACAGGATTAGCTACAAAGAGGCTAGATCAGAAACCCTGAAGGTCCCGGGACAAACAGCACCGAACACAAAGCCCAAAACTGGTTTGAGATGTGAGTAAAATTCAGTGAAACGCAGAGGAAGAGCAGCAGTGACGACTGACCATGGGGATTCCTGGTCTGCTCTGCCTCTGACGCTCAGCCTTGATCTCGGCTTCGATGGCCTCCCGGATGGCCAGCTTACAGGCGCGCTGGCAGATCTCCGTCAGGTCGGCTCCGGAGAAACCCTCAGTGATCCCAGAGAGGAACTCCAGATTCACGTCCTGCAGGTAAAGAATCCCACCCAAAACGAGCCAGCAGAGAAAAGAAACAGTCATCAAAATGCTACTTTACTCTGTAGCAATCAGCAGGTGAATGTTAATGTTTTTCATCATGACATTAAAGGTCAGGACATTACAGCCACACCCCTTGAACGTTTTCACATTTGAGCCATTCTGGTTTCTTTACACCACCAATCTGGAGCAAACAGCCAAAAAACTGAGCTCTTTTAAATCGGGGCTAAAAACCTCACCTGTTTTGAGTTGCCTTTGATTAATGGTAACAGGAACATTGATCAGTATACTTCATTCTGCTTGATGATTTTGATGGCATTTGACAAGATAGAACTTTTATTTCTTGTTTCATAATTGGTCTCAGTGTTTGATTTTTCTGGTGTAAAGCTCTTTGAGCTGCCTTGTTGCAGAAATGAACTTGATTGTAGCCACAATTTTTACTGTATTTTAAGATTAAGACATGATAGACCAACATTAGTATTCAGACACCATGAGTCAATACTTCAAAGAGAATCTGTGGTCTTCTGGCGCTCCAGCCATTATTTCCATGTATTTGTTATTTGTGTTTTGCAATGTTGGTCTTCAACCCGACGCAGTGTTTAGCCCGTAAGCCAAAAGATTACATTTTGTTCTAATCTGATCAGCTTATCCTCCCCCACATGTTTGCCTTTATGTGTCTTGCTGCAAATGTCTCACAGCTGCCTTTCACACATTTCAAATCATTATTTGTAGATAATTGAAGATAAACACTGTCCAATTATGCATTATTTTATGTTGGTTTTGCAAACTAAAGTCCCTAAAATACGCTGGATGAAGAGATTTTTCCTATGGTCGAGGTCTAATTTAAGATTTAATATGATAAGGGAGGGAGTTAAAACTGGCCTCGTTGTGTCCATCAACAGAAATCATTCAACATTTTAATTCATAATTTACCTCTCCTGGTCCGTTACGTACAGCTACATGCCAGACGGATCCACTGAGAACTGTGTCTCTGCAGGTCTTACCCGTGCAACCGGTGATTTGCGCAGGTTGGCTTTCAGAATGGCTGTGCGAGACGGTTTGTCTGGAAGCGGGATGTAGATGAGCTGGTCCAAACGGCCCGGCCGCAGGATGGCCGGGTCTATGATGTCAGGCCTGGTTTGATGGGAGGAAGGGAGCTCAGCACGGACTTTATGTCTGTTCACCCATTATTCACAGCAGACGTGCAGAGAGGCAGCACCTGTTTGTGGCGCCGATGATGAAGACGTTCTTCTTGTCCGACATGCCGTCCATCTCGGTGAGGATCTGGTTGATGACTCTGTCCGCGGCTCCGCCGGCGTCCCCCGCCCCGCCTCCCCGGGACTTGGCGATGGAGTCCAACTCGTCAAAAAACAAGATGCAGGGGGCCGCCTGCCTGGCCTGAGGCGCGGAGGAAAAATTACCAAAAAGGTTAGACGACAGAAGCTCCAAGAGTCGGTGTTCACCGTCAGAGACCTCCCCACCTTGTCAAACACATCTCTGACATTGGCCTCCGACTCTCCAAACCACATGGTGAGCATCTCAGGCCCTTTGATGGACACAAAGTTCGCCTGGCACTCGTTGGCGATGGCCTTCGCCAGGAGCGTTTTTCCGCAGCCCGGCGGGCCGTAGAACAGCACCCCACGGGACGGCGTCATCCCAAACTTCAGGAACTTGTCAGGATACTCCACTGGATACTGGAGGAATCAGTAAAAACATGTGTGGGTCGTCTAAGGGAGCTTGGACTGTGGCTGCAGTGCAGAGTGTGCTGTGAGCGTTTCCTCCACCTGAACGAGCTCTTGGAGTTCTCGTTTGACCTCGTCCAGACCACCGATGTCCTCCCAGTTGACCTGAGGGACCTCTGCTACGGTCTCCCTCAGAGCTGATGGGTTGCTTTGACTCAGGGCCCACTAAAAACGATTCAGTTCAGAAGTATTCATACACACAGCATTGTCTTTACATTCTTCATATTTTGCTTACAAGGAGTCACACTTTCCTGTGATCTTCTAAATTAGTCCATATTATTATTTCATATTTTTACTAAGGTCTATCAAAGCTTTTCCCCCATTTTAAACCAGATTTTATACCCGACCACAGAACTGAGTATAACTTATCTTGGTGTTTTTCATGGATTCACTTAGAGAAATGATTACAAATGTCTAAACATCCAAAATTTAATTTTTTTCATTGGTCATTTGAGTTGCTGAACATGTAGGCAATTATATGAAAATGCCTACATATGAAAGCTTTAAAAAATAAACTTTTTTAAGCTTAAGCTAAATTAAGCTTTTTTAAGCTTTCGAAAATAGCTTAATTTAAAAATTAAGCTATTTTTAAACTAAAAAAATAGCTTAAAATGGCATCTGAACTAAAAAAAAAACCTTTCAGGAGGGCTGAAGAAATATTGTGTGAAGCTACATTATGTAATTCTTATAAAAATATAAATATGCTTTATATTTGTCAGGATACTCCACTTCTTACATATTTATTTAAGCTGTCTCTATGTCCTGACAGCATGATATGAGACAGATAATCTGTGAAAAGATTGTGCTTCTCCAACCAGTCAGTGCCAGGAGGAGGGTCTTGGCACTGCCAATCACACTCCTGTACACGCTGCTCAATGAGCTAACGACCGAGAAACAATTTACTGTTCGTCATCGGTGGCCATGCTACCGGCAGGTTGTGCTTCAGGGTACCAGACATCATAGGTGAGGGTGCGAGCATCTTATACGTGAGGATGATTGACAGCGCTAAGACTCGCCTCCTACCTCTGGTTGTTTCTGACTGAGCGGTGTATTTCTGTAGTTAGCACTGGTAAGGCAGAGAAGCTCATAGATTATCTCTCTCACATTATGCTGTCATGACATAGTGACAGTTTTAACAATTATGTAAAAAAACAAACATTTTGGCGGGATTCGTGGTGTTAGCTTTGCATGTTAACACACAGCCTGATTATGTGTCGCGTATCAACCTGGAAGTCATCCATGGTGACGGCCAGAGAGTTGAGCAGGTCAGTGTCGATAGTTTCGTCCTCCAGGTCGATGAGCGTCATCTTCTTGCGGATCGCTTGCAGAGCAGCTTCTGAGCACAGGGCGGCGAGGTCAGCGCCCACGTGTCCGTGTGTTTCCATGGCGATCTGACATCAAATTAGGACACGTACACAGTCAGAGTGACGGCAGAAGGACCTACCGGCTAACAACCGATGTGGAGAGAGCAGGACTGTTTCTTATTCACATCCATAAACATCTCAGCAAGTTTCACTGACTTTAAGTGCAGAGTTTTCCCAACTGCCTTTGTCATTATCATCCCGTTAGCAGCTTTTTGAACTTGCAAGAGTAACATTTAAAAATAAATTTTAAAATGTTAGGCCTCAAGATTATTAATTAATGCCTCATTTGCATGTAGTCTCAGTGCTATTTGCTGGGAAGGAGCTTATTTTATTTTATTTGAGGATAAAATTGTGGAGCTGGAGATAGGCACCAGCACCCCTCCCAACCCCACTGAGGGACAAGGGTGTTCAGAAAATGGATGGATGGATAAAATTGTGGAACAAACTGAGGTATAAACATGTTGTTACAACATACTTATGAAATCTGCCTGAAGGAGTCAATGCTGCTTGCACATAGAAACACAATGGAGGAGACATAAAAACATTTAAAATTTTTTATTTTTAATCAAGAATAATTTTATTCCACTACTCAATTACGTTCTGTTTTTTGTTGATGTGATGCGACAAAATGGTTTAAAAACCAAGACTCTGTAACTTATTAGCTAACGCACTCTTGATTTTAGCAAGAAATGTAAGATTTTTACTTAAATTATTGTGATTTTTTTTTTTTCCTTTTTGCAGTAGCAGCTCACCTTTTCCAGGTCGACATCGTCTGCCAGCTTCATATTCTTGGTGTGGATCTGCAGGATCTCCAGCCTGCCGGTGGAATCTGGGATCCCGATGTCGATCTCTCGATCAAACCTGCCTGGAGAGCATCGGGGTTTCCGTGAATGCATCAGTGTGTGTTTCTGCGACACCTGTGTCGTGTGTGTGTGCGTCTCCGTCCTGACCGAAGCGCCTCAGAGCAGAGTCGATGCTGTTCGGCCGGTTCGTCGCCGCCATCACGACCACGTGAGCCCTTTGCTTGAGCCCGTCCATCAGGGTCAGCAGCTGCGACACGATGCGCCTCTCCACCTCGCCGTGAGTCTGCGTACGCACCGTCACACAACACAGGCCAGAGGACGGCAAAGACGTGTCGGTTTCTGATGGAATACCTGTACGTGCTCACCTTCTCTCTCTTGGGAGCGATGGCGTCCAGCTCATCGATGAAGATGATGGCCGGAGCGTTGCTCTCTGCCTCCTCAAACGCCTTTCTTAGGTTGCTTTCAGACTCCCCTGCCAACTTACTCATGATCTCAGGACCTTGTGATAGTATAAGCAGGAAGCAAGCAGGTAAGTAAGTGAGAAAGAAAAAATAGAAAAGAAAACTTCTTAGAACGGATGGGCATTTATCGTATCGTTTATCACTTATTGTGATAAATTTCATGTCATGATAATTTGAATTTATCGTTGTTATGATAAACTCCAATTAATAGTCTTTAAACCCCCCCCCAAACTGTCCGTATTGTTGGGATTGCTAATTTTACTATTTCTTTTCCATTTTGTTCAATGAAAGTATCAATACATTTCTTTATGTGACTGGTGTTGTCATAATGAAGCGTAGCACCAATGGGTACGTTTTTCCAGAGCAGTATTTGCGGCTGTGGAGCTACGGTTGCTATGTTATGCAGTCACACCAACAGTTATCTAAAGAAAAAGTAATAAATAGTTCATATTGTCATTTTTGTTGTTGTTACAATACCATCACAAATTTTCTTGATAAAACTTTAAGTCCATATCGTGTCACCGCTCTACTTGTAAGGTGACGTTTTTCCAGCCCCTTGCAGTGTCATGCGATTAAATGAAGGAAAACGACTCACCGTTGATCAGAAAGAAGAAGGCGCCGGTTTCATTGGCAACTGCTCGGGCCACGAGGGTCTTCCCTGTACCTGCAGGGCCATAAAGCAGGATACCTCTGGGGGGCTGAGAGAGACGACAGACAAGAAGAAGAAGTGACCCACACGATGTGAAGACAGCGGCTTTATGCTTGGATCGGAATGACAAGTTTAAGAGCGCCACACCTTGACTCCGATCGCCTTGAAGAGCCCGGGGTGCCGGAGAGGAAGCTCCACCATCTCTTTGATCTGAGCCAGTTGTTTCCGACAGCCTCCGATGTCGTCATACCCGACATCGTTCAGATTCTCCTCTTCATCCTGCCACAGAAAGCAGGGAAACCCAGGACGCTCCGACGACCGGGCGGAGATGTTTTCTTAAAACATAACAGGCTTTGACATTGTTTCAGGGGAGGAACCTTTCTGTTTAGGTTGTGCTGTTGAACAGCTCAGATCCAAGGATTTAAGGTGCAGCCAGTTGTGTTTTTCTGGACTTAAAACCAGTTTATAAACATTTAAATATTACACACAATGCTTGGAAACAACTGGTTCTTTTTCCCAGATTTTTGTCACGCCACATGCATAAAAATGTATGTATTTCATTAGGAGTTTATGTCATAAATGACTACAGCATTTTGCAGGTCAGAAAGTTCAGTTTTGCTCTCATTGAAAGCACTGGCTGCCCTGGACTTTATTTACGGGTGTCAGAGTGAAGGGACCGTATGTAAATAGAAAAAGAACGACTGGTTTCAGGTGTTTGTTTAACTCGCATCCACTTCTGGAGGGTTCCTACATTTTCTCCACAGCAACTCAAAGAAAACCTGTTCTGCCTCCTGACTAGAGGTAGACTGTCATCCCCCCATCACGTGCCCCCTGAATGCAACGCCTTCACACAGACCTCTCTTTTTATCGGCTCTCCTTCGCAGTAGATGACGGTGTCTGGGGCAACGATGCAGTGAGGGCTCGGGTCCGTCTCCACCACCTTGAACTCAACAGCTCTCATGCTTCCCCGCACCAAGAAAATGTCGCCTGAAGACATCACAGTGCTGTCAGAAACGCTCAGAAGATGAAGTTCCTGTGACTCCAGGAGCCAGCTTTTGTTTTGGTACAATCCTGTCTTCGTACCTTTGTGCACCGGCCGGTACGCCTCCAGAAAGTACGGCTTGAGGAAAACTTCAAAGAGGTTCCCCGTCAGGCCCTCGATGGTGTCGTCAATGGGGAGGAGGTGGATCTTTTTCCCATACTTGATGTCAGGGCAGGCGTGGATGCTGGCATGTCAGAAACATGAACTTTTGTCACGTGTGGTAACCTTTTTCATCTACATCTGTCATGATGTTAAGCCACAGCGGACTCCTGGAAATTTCCATTTGGGATCAACAAAGTATTTTGGAATTTGAGTTAGAATTTAATTTGATTCACTCGTCTGTAACTCCAAATCATTCACAGAAAATTTGCATATTTGCTGATTTTTTTTTTTTTTTTTTTTTTTTTTTAGAAATATTTAAAATTCCCCCGGCTCCCCCCAAAAAATGCGGCTTGGGAAGCTGAAATACATAAGAGGCAATGCTACTTCGCATGCTATTACTCTGACGCTGAACTGTTCATCCAGTCGTTGGCGTTAGCTTCTGTGGTACTAGCAACACAGTTTCCTCTTTTCGTCTTATTGCAGATGAATTTATATTTGGTATTTGTGCTATTAAATTAGACCATTGTAGATGTTTTAGAGGGTTTCTCAAGGTTTAGTGGATTTCATCCCTATGCTGACAATTGTGGCCCCTGACCTTCATGAATACCTGGAATCCACTGCATATTAATTTCCATAAATGAATTGTTGTGGGAAAGGACAACAGAGATGGACTCCAAAAACACCAATTTGACTACTTTGTTCTCACCTGTGTAATAATCTAAATAATAATAATAATAATAATAATAATAATAATAATAATGACCCATGTCATGCTATGGCATGTTAGCCAAATAATAAACCGATTTCCTTCCCCCCTAAACTCTCTTTTTGTAAGTCAGGGATATTTTTCAGAACCAAAAATATCAACAGTTGGTCACTAGCCACTCTAATAATCTCAGGACTAAAGTTCTTTTCGGCATTCAACCTTCAACTATTGACAGTAATAAAAGTTTCATTTGTTTACACAAAGGCAGAACCTTTAAAATCTCTTTGTACTCTCTGAGGTGCAAAAGGGCTCATTAGGTGTGTCTCTGTTATAGATCACACCGTTTACACGCACACACAGCTGCCAAATACAGGAAAATGCGACTAGATTTAATTTTTACGCCACTGTTTTGGCGCCCCTATCCGTCGCATACCCATTTTTTAAAGTTTTGTTTGATTTTATTTACGCATCTTACCAGGCAACATTGAGCAATGTCGTAAAAAATATATTGAGCTAGAGTGGCTCACAAATTGAGAGAATGAGAGTTTGTTTAATTTAAAGTTTCCCACAAAATGGAAAATCTTGTTGGTAAAAAGGTCAAATTCAAAGTGTGTGTGTGTGTGTGGGTGTATGCGTGTGTGTGCCCTCCACACAGATCTACACCTGATGACATCACCGAGGCGAACTCGCAGGTTGTTGCGCGTCACCCTGTTCATCCGAATCCTCTCGGGCCCGCAGGTGTCATCCGTCAGGACGATGCACACGGTTTGCCGTCGCTTCCGTCCTCTCAGCACCACGGTGTCCCCGCGGAAGAGCTGCAGCTCCTCCGTCTTATTCTAACGTGGAGACGCACAGGTCTGAGAGCAAAATCATTACCTTCGCGGATCTGTTGTTCACGTAGAAACTCACCTGCGACAGGCTGACAATGCTGCTGTCCTCGTTGAGCGCTTCGTCCACAATCAGCCTGTTGGGTCTGTGTTTCTCCTTCAGGATGGCGGTGGAGAAATCCTCTCCCTTCGGCCTTCCAGACAGGAGACACTTTGACTCGTTCACACGCAGCCCCACATGCTCCACACTCAAAGATCTAATTTCTTCATGTGACTCTGAGCCGTATTTAGAAACTCTCTGGCTCTCCGCAAAGCAACTTTTTTTTTCACCTTGATAGACCTAAAAATATCTAAATTCATCAAAGGTTTGGAGCTTGTGATGGAACATTTGAGCTCTTTTATAAATGGCTAAGGCCTTTAATCTGATTTTGCTTGTTTGTTTTGTTTCTATATGTTTAAAATAATGCAGCTGTTTACTCACTCTGCTCCTCCCGGGCCTGGCATGTCTCCTCTCCTTCGTCTTGGAGATTCAGATAAGCTCAATTTTACGCTGCAGAATATTCAACACAGTCGGTCCCTTATGTTTCAAAGCTTCGAGCTTTCTGTCTGATCTTTTTAGTCTTTGGTGAGCTGCTTTTGTTCTTCAGAGGCCAAAACGTTCCCAGCTGAGACTCCCGGCCTTTTGTTTTATTTTATTTTTTCCTTTTTCCTCACTTGTCTTCAGTCTTCATGTTTGCAGGAGCCGCACTCTGCCTGTGTGACATAAACACGTCCGTCTGCTTCTCCTGTTGTAACCTCAACATGAGCGCCTACACGCATGCAGGGATCCCAGGCTCTTTACCTTGGAGAGCGTCCCAAAGCACACGGCGCGCAGACAGTGTGAGGTTTCCTCCTGCCCTCACTCCTCGCCTGCAAAAATGTAAAACCGAGAGCTCAGCTGCTCCCAGCAGCTGCTGAATATTCATGTGTCCAAATAAATTCTGCATAGAGATTTCCTTTTGTCCTCAAAATAGGAGCTGTGTTTTGCGTCATCTCCCGGACCAGCCACGTCTTTTTTTTTAATTTATTTATTTGTTATTTTTTGTTGAAACGCGAGCTGCTGTTGTGTCCCAGCTGCTCTGAACCGTCACCGGCTCCCTTCCTGACGCACTGAGTGCTTGTGTTGGGTATTCATCGCCTGGGTCAGAGTCTGGAAAGGGGCTTAAGGGCAGTAGCCCAGGGCGGGGGGAGGGATGAGGGGAGGCAAAAAAAAAAAAAAAGGTTTTTGTGTATACTGTGTCTGCTAATATGAAAATCATGGGCTCATGTATATTTTATTGAAATACTATTTGACTTTTATTCATTTATCTGCTCAAATGTTTGAAAATGATCATCTCTTTGGGGACCAAATGGGGGGAGCCATCTGTCACGTTTTAAACCAACCCTCCATCAAGTCATACCTGCAAATGTGTAAACCTACCCAACAATATTTCGCAATTTGCATGAGAATAGGGCTCTAAAAGTGGCTGCAGCCCAGGATCTCTTATCCTTCTAAATCCGGCCGTGTTCATTGAAAAGTCTATTGATTTGTCACGTTGCAACGACAAATCGGGCTGGGATTTTATGCAGTAGCAATTCAGCCCTTTGATAGCACCGAGCTAACAGACAGAGTTAACCGTTGTATTTATGTAAATTAAAAAAATGGCCACCCAATTACATTGACAGTTCAGAAGAGGATAGTATGAATGAGAGAAGCAGGTGGGAGAATCTGTTTGCAGCTGTTCTTCATGACCTTAACAAACTTGGACTTTATAGAAGAGTGGCAAAAAGAATCCATAGCTGAAAGAAAGTCAAAGAAGGCGATGATAAGAGACCAAAAGTTTGACATTCAGCCTAAAGGCTAACTGCCAGCAACAGCAAAAAAATAAAAATAAAAAATCACAGAACACCGTGGCGGACTGGCGACCTGTCCAGAGTGCAGCTCACCTCTCGCCCGTTGACCGCTGGAGATATTCACCAGCGCCTCCCCAATGGGATGAGAGTGTAAGAGAATGGATGGAAGGAAATCACAGAACCCTGCACATCAACCTGAGTGCAGCATCCAGGGACAGGGAGGTTGGTTGGAGTTGATGGATTTACTTAGATTGGGGGAGTGAAATAGTATAGAAATGCAGAGAAAACTGATCAGATTTTTAACAGTGAAAACCACGTCTGATATTTCTTCCAGAACAGATTTGCTCTCCTTTGTGTTGTTTTCAGTCACATAAAATCCCAAAAGCATGCGGTCGTACTGTGACAAAATGTGAAAATGATGCGTGAATAAATCTGCAAGGCACTGGGCACACAACTTCTACACAACAGCATATGTTTTGTATGTTTTGCATTAATTTTTTTTTTGCTTTTATTTACTAAAATTGTTCTGTAACAAGTAACAAATGACAGGAAAATCAACCATTTTCTACAGTCTGAAACGCGGCTGTTCTCTCCAGATGGGTTCCTCTCATGAAAAAAGGGATGAAGTGACAGAAAACATTTTGATAACGAAACATAACATTAACGAATAAAGCAAGAGGTAGAGAAAGTGCAAAAGCACAAACAGGAACACGTCTCAGGAGAAATTATTGCCAAAACAAACCAATGTGTAAAAAGAAAAAAACGAGTAAAGCAAGAAAACTTAGAACGGTGCTGAGGAAATGTGTTATCTACTCCTATGACGTCACCAAGAGTGTAAAAACGCATTTTAATATTTGATTGCCTCACTGATATTCTATTGTTCAATGAGGATTTTACAATGCAAATATGTGTTCAGTACTCTGCTGGTTTTGGTTAATTTTCCATTACTTTTTTATGGACCAGAGATAATTTAAATGAGGTCAGACCACACCTATTATTTGACTTACTTTAATTGACATGTAAATTGATTGCTGTTCTCTGTAGGCTAACTTATAAATGTCCATCCTGTTTAAATGCCAGCAATCAGAGTCCAGTTAGAAGAATCTCACACTAACATACTGTTTTTTTTATTTTTTTTATTTTTTTTTAGCCAAAATAAACAAAAACAACTAAATAAATGTGGGTTGGACGTGTAACCCAGACAAATGCAAAAATCTTCCGTTGTGACGCTTTCAGGGAACCGACCGGCGAAGACAAAGGATTGTGCCGAACATGAGCAGACTTCAGCTCGTTAGCTACTGCCGGATCGCCGTTTTCTTTGCTACATAAAGAGTTTTGCATGCATGTAAAGTCAAAATATTAGACAAACAGAAAATATTGTCTGAGTCCATGAAAAGCAGTGGTTTGCTGCTGCAGAGACTTTGCGTTATTGCTCTTGATCCCTTAGATAAGTCCAAATCCAGTTCTGGAGGAAATGTGGCTTAATTACCTCTGCAACCAGTTCTGCAAAGGCTTAATAAAGACTCATTTGTTTAAATGAAATGTTTAGCCAGGTGAGCATTAAAAACATGCAGAACATTGACATTTGAGGACTGGAACTGGACAGCACTGCTTCATGGAAATTATTCAGGTCTGATGATTTGTTTATAAAACCAGTTCAATCTGTTTTGGATTAAACTTTTACACTTGGAAATCAAGCTTTAGTTCCTGCAGTTCTGTGCTGGAGCTACATTTAATGAACTGCAGGTTTTGGTATTTTTTAGTGTTTAGTTTTAAAATGTCTAATGGGTTTTTTCAGTGAGCTGTCACAACAGCATACACTTAAAAAACAGAAAAACAATCAGTTTGAAGCTGTTTTTTCCTCCTTTTTTGCAGACAGAAACTTAATTTAGATCCTAATCATAAATCAAAGTTATGTAAAGTAAAGAGTAAATTTGCGAAAACTATTCCCTGACGTCAGAATCCAAAAGGCCCAATCGACTGGAACAAATTCTATCCGATCACTTTATGGACCTTTAGTTTCCAGCTGTTCATGTGACGCTTTAGGCTGCAGATGAAAAACATCAGCCCTCAAATAATAACCTTTAAAAAAAAACTGAAGAGAAAACACCGGCTGGTTGTGCTGATGAGTTCTGGGTCGACATAAACACAAATTATGTAACCGTGACGCTTCGGTCCAGATTCAGGGTGTGTAAAAAAAAAAAAATCTGCTTCTATCTAAGCTGCTATTTGTTTTCCACTACTTTTCTTCCATATGAAGAAGAATCAAACCTACAAGCATGAAGCTGTCCTACCACAGAGCTAAAATTTAAACGTAACATGGATTCTGAGGCGATGTGCACAAAAACACAAACTATCTTACACAGATTAATTGAAACAAAAAAGTGCTGAAATTTTTTTAAAATAAAATAAAATGCCTTTTTGTGTCTGATTTACTCATATGAAAATGTTCTGATATTCTACCTTGTTTTTGGGCCATCATTTGTGCTCCGTTCAGTAGAAAAATCCTCCTAGAAAATCCTGTGAAATTCCTACACAGACAAAACAAAAGCTGAGCCGTGTTTGCTTGATGCTTTTCTCAAAGCTTATATTACCTAATGTAAAGACATGCATTTTCTTTCTTTACTACTTGAGCTATATGTAGATATTAACATAACAGTCTGAGTGTATTTTTTGCGTCTTCGCAGCAGTCATTGTCCTCAAAGTGTGTTTTCTGCAGAACCTTGATGTGACGCTCGTAGATCTTGAGGGCGGGTCCGAGTTTGATCGACAGGCCGGTCAAAACGTCGTTGCGTTGCATGAGGAGGAGAGACTTCCCGTCGATTTCCTGTGGAACAGAGCAAAGCAGAGAGTGTGTAGCAGGCCCGTGGAGTCTGCAACAATTCAACAGACGCAGTCTGTGGCGCCCACTAGTGGCAGAAACAGCCTCACCTGGGTCCTGAAGGCCGCAGCCTGCTCAGGGAAACCCACGGCTGTGAAATAACTGGCCACGTCCGACACTGTCCAGTCCACCGGACTTACTCTGGTGCTGCCAAACTTCATGTGCCTTTGGGTAAAAAACAAACAAACAAACAAACAAACAGAAAAATCCAGTTGGACTTTTATAAAACTCACTGGGTAGAGAGAAATCATGAACCACAGGGGATTTTAAAAGTGGGATTAAAAGCAACATTAAAAGGAGATTTCCATGGCTAATGTGACACATACTGTAAACAATTCAGTTGAAAAACTACTAAATATGTTGGGTGGGAGCGGGGCATGAAAAATATCAGATAACCCAGTGGTCACACCTTTGTTGAAGAAACTTCATATTTATTTTCAGCAGTCAGTCTTCCTCCAGTCGGCCATCAGTTTCAGTGAATATAGCGAACGGTATAAAGTTCAGCCATCATAGTAGAAACTTTCTGATATTTTAGCTAAAGCCACGGTTTTAAAATGATTTCAATGTACAAAGGTATAAGTCAGGAGAAGGGTGCAAAATAGAGACGGTCCTTGTCAAACTGTTCAATCTGCAGTGTTCAATCCTCGGTGCAGCATTCAACACTGATATTCTAATCGGACAGAACTGGATTGGACCTTCTGGTCCAGTACTTGACTGGATCAAATCTTACCTAAACAGGGACTTTTTCATGTCAGTCGGTAACTTCTCAGCGGAACGGACAAAAATCACATATGGGGCCCCCCTTCGGTTCCATCCTGGGACCCTTCTTATTTAATATCTACATGCTCCCACTTACTCAGATTACAACATGTCATAAATTAAGGTACCGTAATCATAAAGAGGACACACACAGCTCTACGTTACAACGTCACCAGGTAACTATGAAGCCATTTGAGTGCTGAACAAATCAACGTGTGGATGTGCCACAACTTGATCAGAAACAGAAAAGAAACTGAAGATATTATCTTTGGACCCAAAGAAGAAGAACCTAGAGTCAGCACGCGTCTTATTAAAACTAGAAACCAGCGATCAGGCCCGAAAC